CGTTGAATTTAACATAGCTGAACTTATAAAATCAACTAGTTTGAGAGCACTAAATCCCTGTTGCATTGCAAATATGCTTGCTCCATCTCTGTCAGCTTTATTGCGTTATCCTTAATCCAGCGTTAATAATAATCGCGTTTGGGTACACTTTCCTTCTAGAATGATCAACCATGGACTTGGTGAAACGCAAGATAGTTATTGTACCTGTCTTAGTGGAAGAGCCACATCGTTAGTAGTTAATTTGTTTTTCCCGACACTTTTGTACTCATCGTGACTTATGATACCATTTCTATATTCTCAAATGGATTAAAGTACGGTAACACGGTTACGGTGATCTTCGGCATCATACTCTTACTAGTATTACATGCCTGCTGACTAACCAAAATAGCCGTCTTGTTTTCCGGCGGAATCATTATTTTCCTTGTGTTTATAAATCTTGGAACACTCTAAAAAAGTCAGCTGATTCCACCTCTAAATTGGATATTTGCAAAACATTAAACTTTTCTCTTAGCTCTCATTACGTATTTGCATAACATGTGCTACTTTGGAATATATGAATGATGCCTCCTAGCCAGACGAATAAAGCACAATAACCTAAGGCGGCGGTATACAAGTGCGCAGCCTTGATTTTAATTTTATCACCGAGTACGTCATCACTAACTGCGCCCAAATGGTCTTGATTTTGCACTCCATGCACATTCACTATAATGTAATGCAGCGACGCACTTGCACGATAAACGTTGAAACAATCAACTCACATGTCTTTTGAGAGTAAGGTTTAACCCTACCATGCTGCGATACTTGTTAAGCAATTTATAGTATAACACGTGATAAACCATTGTAGATGGTTCATTGGTGACTTCGAAATGTGTGCTAAGTGTACAGTATAAGCCTAGGTTTTGCCAGATGACGTAATCCCACATCAGCATTGGTGCAAGTTCGGATGACCATGTTAGACAGTGCATCTTAAGAGCAATCGCTGCGGATCATCCGTGCAAATTGTATGGTCCCAGCAAGTAACTTATTAGCAATTAGAAAGAGGATGTTGAAGTTTATCTTTGTTTCACATGTTAGTCTTTATAATTTCGTATACACTATTTCCCGTGATTCTTGTGACGAATTCTACCTAGCTGTGCTTATTCAAATTATTGGTCATCCTAGCGTGGATGTATTTAGTTACAGTAAATATCTTGCTAAACCAACCTTGGTTACTTAATCTATTTATTTGGTCATTTGTTACTAGATCTTGGCATTGTCAGCGCGGTGAGTAGGTGTGTGCAATATTGTGTCATTTTCAGTCTAGAACAAATGAATTATGCCTGGGTGCCATTTCACTGATTATGACTAATTACTGACTTAATGCTTACCTGATATGTGCGGAGCCCGTTTAGTACGGAAGCATTACTTTTACTGTATCTCATATTGAGCTTTATTTGCATGGCCGCATTTTATGAGTAATGCAAGTTTTGCTTACCGCAGTTATGTATGCTATGGTAATATGTCGCATTTGCTAGCCTCAAATTGTATTCTAATGAAGTGACATGCCAGGATGGTGAAATATAAATTTCCTTTGTGACTTGCATCTCTATGTAGGCTCTACCGCATCGTTAAACAAACTAGACGACACATCCTTTGTCCCAATGTCTACCTATATTATGCCTAATTAAGCTTTTGTAACAAATATGGCCTTATTTCGACCTGTTGCCTTAAACTAGTCTGGCGCTTAGACAGAAGGTCGATTTCGTTATATAGATGCAGTCCATGCATATTTCTGCGCATCAGACACGTCATGTGTATTAGTTGACTCTATATCACTGAGTTTCTCGTGGGAATTGACTTGTTGCAACAATCTTGGTAGGGATCGCAAATATTGAGT